GTAAAAATCCACTGCTCCATCTTGGCAGAAGATGCCATTAAAGCCGCGGTGGAAGACTACAAGAAGAAACACGCGCAGCAATAATTTCAAACTCACGTAAAACCCGTAAGCAATCATCATGGCCATCACCCTCAGCCCCGCAGCCGCCAAACACGTTAGCAAATACCTCGCCAAGCGCGGCAAAGGCGTGGGGGTGCGCCTGGGTGTTAAAACCACGGGTTGCTCAGGCCTGGCTTACAAGCTGGAATACGTAGATGAGCAAGACCCCAGCGATGTGGTATTTGACATCGCCTCGGAGAGTGGCGATGTCAAATTGCTGATAGACCCCAAAAGCCTGCCCTACCTGGACGGTACGCAGCTGGACTATGTGCGCGAGGGTTTAAACGAGGGCTTCAAGTTCCACAACCCCAATGAGCGCGATAGATGCGGCTGCGGTGAGAGCTTTCGGGTGTGAAGCTAGGTTATGGATTTAACCGCTACCGATTTTGAACTTTTTGCCCTGCCTGTGCAGTTTGCGCAAGATGCGGATACTCTGACTGCCAAGTGGAAGGCCTTGCAAATGCAGGCGCACCCAGACAAATTTGCCGCTGATGGCGCAGCCGCGCAACGCCTTGCCATGCAGTGGAGTGTACGCATCAACGAAGCCTACCAACGCCTGAAGAACCCCATTAGCCGCGCCGCCTACCTGTGCCAGCTAAACGACCACCCTATAGAAGGCAGCAGCAACACGGCTATGCCGCCCGATTTTTTGATGCAGCAAATGCAGTGGCGTGAGGCTTTGGACGAGGCGGATGATGACGCTGCGCTAGACACGCTTTCTAAAGAGGTGCATACGGTATGGCTGGGTAAGCTGCAAGAACTAACGCAGCTTATAGATGTAGAGTGCGATTACGCAAAAGCCGCGCAGCAAGTGCGGATGCTGATGTTTATCGAAAAATACGCACAAGACGTAGAAAAAAAAGCAGGATAGATAAGGAGAGAACATCATGTACACCGTCCCCCATTTTGCAGAAGAAAACCCAGAGACCC